TAGATAGAGCAGATAGGCCGTGACTAGCTGGCCTATTGCCTCAGGCAGAAACCGCGCGACTATCTTAGGCTTATCCCACTGCGATTGCGTCTTGTGATAGCGAGTAATTACTACGACTTGGCCGTCCATAACGTAGAGATTACGGTCTTGTAGCACGCCGTTGCGCCAGCGTACGAAGAGCAGCTCTGGCCCACGAGCTGGCTGCCCGCCTGTGATATGGACAGCTAAACAAAGTAGCTCAAGAAAACGATCCGTCTGTTTGAGATAGCGTTGGACAGCTCGGGGTCTCCACTCCATGCTCTGATCTGGTAGATAGCTACTGCTTGTTGGCAGCTGCTCTGGCTGCTCTGGCTGCTCTGGCTGCTCTGGCTGCTCTGGCTGCTTTAGCTGCTCTCGCTGCTCTCGCTGCAGTCCCACGCGCTGTTGATAGAGCTTCTGCGCCCTAGCTACTCTAGCTAATTGATCTAGCACCCACGCTTGGCCTTGCTGTAGCTGCGATAGTAATAAATAGCACACGCTACGCTGCCGGATAGAAACATCGTCTTGTATCTTAGCTAGCCTAGTTGTCGGCCGATCCTCGTGCTCGCTTATCCACAGCAGCTCTTCCTATAGTACCCGTTCTGCCTTAGTGACGACGCCCTGCGCAAGCTTGCGGAACTGCTGTAGTACGATAGGCCGGCCTTTGATATAGAACGTCTGTCGATCTATAGACTACCATATGCTGCTAGCGATGGTGCCAGGCGTACGCAGGGCGATAAACTTAGCGTATGCTAGTAAGCTTAGCATAGTACTTATTGGGCTATACGAGCTATCTACTAGATAGCGAGCACGCTGCTTAAGAAAGCTACTCGTCTCAGCAGCACCTTGCTTAGCCCGCTTATCTGCTAGTAGAAAGAACTTTATCGCTAATATGCGTACGCAGTAGACGAGAGAGCTAAGTATAGACGAGAACTTAGCAGCTGTACGTAGACGGCTGGTCTCTGGATGGATACTAAGAGTAGTAAGAAAATGGACTATCGCGCTGGCAAAGGGCTGCCCGTAGAGCTCCTGGCAGATAAGAGCGTGGGATAGGCGTAGTATGTACGTACGCTGCTTGGCTATTGTAGTACTGCTGCTGTCGTACTGGGAGAGGTACTTCTAGAGCCGCTCTGCTGCTAGCTTCTGCTTACTATGCTATGGGAAGAGACGAGCGATGCTGGCGAGCTCGGGCACTGCTGGTGCTGCTGGCACTGCTGGTGCTGCTGGCACTGCTGGTGCTGCTGGCGTCTGCTTAACAGCTACTACACGGAGATAGTAGCAGAGTAGCCGTGCCTAGAGTTGAGCCGCGCGCAGCTGGCTGGCCTTGTTTTGCATACGGCTGAACGGCTGGACGTTAGGCTCTTGAAGCTTTGCACTGCGCAGCTAACGTAGCGTATCTTGAGGTAGCGTGCTAAGCCCCTGTACGGCTTCCTCTACTAGCTCTTCTACAAGCTGTACAACGCGCTGTAGCTGCGGCTCCTCTGCTATTGGGAGGCGTATAGCGTACGATAGTATCTGCTAGTCTGAGTAGGCCTGTAGGTGCTCGTCCCACTGCGTCCGCTTGAACCAGCCCGTACGGTCTTTAGCATCAGCTTCTTCTGCTATACGCTCTATAGCCTCGCGATCCTTGCGCTCAATAGTGTCGCACTCGCACGATAGATAGGCTAGCCGCTGCTGATAGCTCACTTCTTGGTTTTGCTCTGCCGTCTCTTGCCTACGGTGCTGCTGCTGCTGCTCCTGCTTAATAATAAAGTAGCGGATATATCGCTTCTCTCGGAAGAACGTCTGCACCTTAATAGGTCTCCATAGCTGAGCAGCTTGCTCAGCGTACGAGCTAGCTAAGTTAGTAGACCAGCGAGTAAGCTTAACTCTATGCTGTTGGTTGATATGCTTCTTCATCCGACTCCAGCTAGTACTAATAAAGCTACAGCTAGCTTGGTAGCAGCATTGAAACGCGTCTTGAGGTAGACCTAGCTCTTCTAATGGCGCGCTGTACGGCGCTGGTGTATATACGTTAGTAGGTAGCTGTAGCGTATAGCTACTATAGCGTCTCTGTAGCTCTCTTCTCTCTTGAATAGGTAGCTTATGATAGCGTTTAAGATGCTCGTTAAGACTATAGATAGCGTACTGGTGCTCGTTGCAGATAAGAACACGATAGGTAGATAGATAGGTAAACATAGTAGAGTAAGCTACTTTCGTACGAATAGTATAGTTAACTGGCTAGTTATTTAGATTTCTATATAGTATAGTAGGTTAATAAATAACTAAATAATAACAAAGTATAAGCTGGTTGCCTTGGTAGCAATCGGACCGTATAAGGAAGTAAGATTAGGGTTAGGGTTAGGGTAATCTAGCGCCGCGCGACTTTGGCCCCGATTGCTTTGTGCGACTTTGGCCCCGAGGTTTTTACGCTAGCCAATCAGCATGCGCGACTTTGCACCCCGAACACATTGTCGCGCGATACTTAGGGGTTAGGGATCACGTAATCTTCGACCACGTGATATACCTTCTGTATGGACACGTGATCAGAAGCGAGTAGATATAAGAGAAGTCTGTACTTAGTTATCTTCTCTTTTTCTCATCTTTTAGCTTCTATACGATAGGTAGAAGTATACTCATTCGCTAGGCCTCTCCACCTATAACATAAGCTAAAAGATCACTTTAACCTCTCTTACTCTTTTCTCTCGTACGAAGCGAGAGAGAATTGAGAATATAAAACGAGTAAGATATAACGATGGAGCTATATAAGCTTATGCCAAACCTAGAACCTAGTAACAACCTACTAAGGCCTTCAACGTACGAGGAGCTTACAGAAAGCTAGAGCTAACTAAATGCAACGAATAATCTACTCTAATAAAACCTAGACTAGATAGCTATAAGACTTAAGGACGCTAAAGGCGTATGAGAAGAACTCTAAGAGATAAAAGCCCTTTTTCTCCGTACGGTATAGGGGCAAGCTACCCCTAACGCATAGACTCCCAATCTCACGCTAAGTGTTACACGGGGTAAGGGTCTATACTTCTCTATCCTGGTCCGCACTAAGGCAGGTGAGTATTACGTTAGTGTTCCGTGAGGCTTGTCTGGCGATGCAGTGGAGTTGGCGTGCTTAAGGAGGGTTTGACAAGACTAATCTATTTGATAGACTAACTTGTGACAATCTTGTTAAGTAAAGATACTAGTAAGAAAGTACAATTTGAGTTGACCACAACGAGAGTAATAATGAAATCCATCCATCCTTATATCCTCATTGCTTCCAGTCCTGCCATCCCGTTCATCCCATTTTCTTGCTCCTTGGCGGGATGTCTGTGATGGCATGCCATCCCTAATCCCATTGCCATCCCATGCTTGGCGGGATGTCTTGTCTTGGCGGGATGGCACATC